CAAAATTATTGTCATGGTACCATTTCACAGGGAGTGCCCGGGAACCCCAGATTGGCAGGACCAGGACCAGCATGGCTAGCAGGGCTTGAGCCTGTTGCCTTTGGCTGCTCACACCCCGAGGTGTTGGCAGAGCTGGACCCAAGTCAGTGATTTGCCCTGTGCTGACAGAGAGGAGTACGAGACGATGAAGTGCACTGGGGAAGTCAAAGGCTCCTGGCTTTCCCCTTCTCTTCCGAGTACTCCCTACAGGCCTTTCTTCCCTAAAACCTGCTCTTACCTATAACAAGCTGAGCAAGTCATAAAGTTGCTGTTTGTATCCCAGCTTCCCAAAGGATTTCTCTCTCCTGGCGGCAGCAGCACCAACGCTCCACAGGAAGCCCTGACTGAGGCTGGGAATGGACACAGAACAAGCCAAAAGCGGTCACTCAGCACCAAAACACTCAACAATAAACCAATTTAGAGTCACCTTTGTCTCCCTCCATGCAGGCAGAGGCTTTGGGATTCCAAGGCAAGCCCAGAGACCCCCAGAGAGCAGCAGCCCCTCAGCCCCACCAGGGCCTCCCCCGGGCTCAGGCAGCAGGCAAGCGCTGCCCAACCTCTGCTGTGCAGCACAGCACGCAGGGGGTGACCTCTGGGATCCCTCCCTGGCCACTGCAGAGCATGCAGGCAGCAGGGCCAAGTCCTGCCCAGCCCCCAGGCACCGCAGACACTGCAGCCCCAGCAGCAGGGGCATTTGCTGCCTCTGGCTCCCCTCTCATTTGCAGCTGAACAGTGAGGAACAAGCCCTGAGCAGACAGTGAGGGACCAGAACTGGCACAATCAACAACCAAGCAGAGAGCCTTGGGCTTGCCAGAGGCCTGGGCCTGCCTAGACCAGGCTCTGAGCTGCCTTGGCTTTCTTCTGCTGCAATTATCCTGCCCTGGCAAGTGTTAAAACACAGACTGCCCAGTGAGAAGTGCTCTGAAACAGCAATCAATTCCAGCTCCAGAAAATCTCAGGGCCACACTTAGAAACCCTTCAGCAAGGGTCCTGGAAAAGCCAAGGGGAGCTGTGATTACCTGGAGTCCCAGGGAAGCGAGGGCAAGGCGGGGACCGAGCAGAGAGCAAACACCTCCAGCTGCTTCTCACTCCAGCCCCCACGGCAAGTGCAGTGAAGCACACCGGTGGAGAGTTTGTAGAAGAGCTTGAAAAGAAATTAGGAAACAATTAGTTGACAGGAAAATCCCTGTATAACAACTCTAATTGCTCATTGAGAGAATTACCTAATTTAGAACAACTGAATCACAGGACCCCACGGCTTATCAAATGTATTCACTGCCACTAAAGAAAAAAATAACACTGAATTTCCTCCAAATCTGTTCCCCAAAACCATCCGCTCACCACACTGTGCGAAACAACACGTGGTAATAAAACTCTGATGTGTTCAAAACAGCCAAGTTCTTGGACGCTTGCTATTTGCTTCCCCTTACTGTTATTCTTCCTTCAGAAATTCTGCTCGTAGCCAAGTTATCCCTACTGCTTCAAGCATTTCCCTCCCTGGTATTACCAGCACATTTACACAGGCAAGGAACTTAACAGCTCTTCTAAAATTATCCAGCTGCCAATTACAGCCATAAAAGAAAAGCAAAAGGAAAAAGGGCTCAGGCAGCCAGAGAGCTCTGCAGGTGGCACCGGGCAACATCACATTTGTTAAAACACATCCTTTTGCATAGAGGAGGAGACAGGTGTATATTATGGCAGGTTGTGCCCTTCCCCCAGTGCTGACAAAAATCACACACAGCACCAAGTAAGGCTCAAAGATAAGCTGGAGGGAAAAAAATGGCAAAAGCACACACACCGGGACATTCTCTTGCTTCCAAGGCAAGACCAATCATTCCTCTAGGATAAGGGAAAGAGGCAAGGGTTTATCGAGCAATGCATAACTTAGAAAGTGAGTTTAACAAGTACCAGCAGGGTTTGTGAACAGAGAAAACAAAACTCAGTGGGTTTAGTAGTTAAAAACTCAGTGTAAACTACTGTCTGATTATAGCAGTAAGCTTCCCACAGTGGTTTCAGGTGCCTTCCTTTGTAGCCCAGCCCCAAAGTAGAAACTCCTCTAGACTGCTCCTGAGACAGGCAATTAATTGGAACTTTTGGTGCTCAGGAAAGCTGGTCCCTCCCCTGAGTCCTGGCTGACCTGCCCGAGTAACTATAGTGCTTATAATCCACCTCGCTCCCTGCTTTGCATGTTCATATCCATAAAAGAAACCTCCAAGCTCTTCCTCCAGTCCGAGCTGTATCTTCCCTGCACCCCCACGCTCCCCCACCTGTTCACGTGCGCTGCTCCCCTCTCCTGCGCCACTTCCCGGCACACGGCTCATCCCTCAGCCCCTTCCTTGAGCCATGAGCCATCTCCAGATGCACCCAGGGGCTTCCTCCAGCTGCTGCAAGATGCTCTCACCATCACTGCTTCAGAGACTCCCTGGAACCGGCCGCTACCCTGCAGAAGCTCGCTACAAAAAGGGAACTCCCCTCACTCCCCACTCACCTCACCCGTATGTGGATGTTGCCTCATCTCCTGCTCAGGATCCACTCCACCTGCGCTCCACTCAGTGCCAGATGTCTCAGCCCTACCCTACGACGGTGCTGCAGGGAGATCAGCCCATGAAGCTTTAGGACACGGCTTTACTGGGATCAGAATATGTGCTCACAGACCCACCTCAAACTAACAGCACACACCCCCCGGCCTCTGTGCGCCTCTGTCTGTAGGGACAAACTCTGCAAGGGGCTTTGGGAATGAGCACTGGACACAGGACACAGTTACAGAGTGCTGAGTGCAGGGAAGATGTTCTCTGAAAGATATGAATACCACACAGAAAAAGGAGAGTTTTCTTTGAAAAAGCAATTTGATATTTTATTTTCTACAGAGTTCCCAACAAAAGTTTCCCATTACTGAAGGGAAAAAATACAGGTCAGGCAAGCTTATCCAGCAGTAGTGAAGCACGCCCTTCACAACGCGGTTGCACCTGTCCTTGGAACTCCACTACGGTCTGGCCACTTCATCTTGGCACTGACAAAGAAAACTGCACTGTTGAAAGAGT